ACATTCCTAATAAAATTGTCGCTAAAATGTTTCAGTCAATAACATAGTACTTAAACAATTAAGTAGTAGTTTATATAGGATAACTAAAATGTAATTGAATCACTAAACTCAATGCACTTCATGAACCATCATCAGAGAAATGCAAACTTTTTAATAGATCTTAGCCTGAATGTCGATACTAAGTTAGGATAACAGCACAGACAGAATATCGATATGGCTTTAATCAACATACTTAAATGTAGCACTTTTTAAAACAACTAACCCTTTCATATATAATTATCATTGATAACAGTAGTAATTTATCAATTGGATAAGTTCAATTGTTCACATTTATCATTAACACCTTATGATCAGAGATCATTTTAATTGTCATAATGTCCTAAACCGATACTCATTCTATAATTATCCCTATTAGTCTGTATCTGAATGTCAACTTCCTGAAGTTCATACATGAAATCGCTGGTCCACAAATATAAGTTAACTCAAAAAGCGATCATTTAACATAGGAAGAGTTCCGAATTGTGAAATAAGTACTGGATTGGCAGCCAACATATCCCAGCCATTTCGCATGTTCGATTCGTTTATTCAAACTGTAACGGGACTCTGGGTTTATAGCTTGCATTTGAAGATCGTGAATGGCTGTCTCAATGTCAGAATACAATAGAGTGGTCAGCAAATTAAGCAGTGATTAAAGTGCCTTAACGTGGTTCAAGCGTTGTTCAAACCCACGGTTAAACACCGAAATCCATACTTTAGAATATGTTCATTTGAGACTAGTGTGACATGAGGTGATGAGTGTAATTAAGTTTGGAAAATATACTGAGTTTTATCTAGAATATCATTTTAAAATATTTTAACGATAAAATTCTACATGAGGTTTGATGGTAGCTAACAATCGAATCCAGGACCCACGTTTCATTCTATTTGGGAGTCGTTAGACTGGTCAACAAAAGAAGTCAGAAACTCAAGTGAAGAATATTTGCAGGATGTTAACATCAACACTGTGATGTAGGTATATATAACTGATGAGCACCAAATAGAACGAAACAAGTTTGCTGAATTCCACTGTTGGCTAAAGTTCATATATTTTGAAATGATTAGAAATATTTATCCATCAGAACGATGATATTGGATTTATTTTGGTCTCTGTGCTGGTCGACTTTGAGGCTTTCATTGTCCTTTATAACATCATCATCAAAGAGAAATGAACTGTTATCTGATTGTTTTTTCTTAAAGATCAATAAAATTTTAAGCATTAAACCATCCTATTCATAGACCATAACACCAACAACCCTTCTGTTTCAAAAAATTTAAATTACTTCCAAACTATATTACTTCATTATCTTGGTGAATGATTACAAATTTCTTTAAAGGATTGATGATTAAAGTAGTTCGGTGGTATATTTTTAGTCTGATGAGTACGATTAAAAAAGAAAATGTATAGGGAGATAGACTTATTACGTCATCAATATTAAAATTAAACTAGTCCAAGAAATATACTGCCATATTATGTAATCATTTAGAAAAGAGCTTATCATAAAAACAAATCACTTGCATAATTCAAAACAATGTAGGATAAAAACTTTCACCTGACCTATTAGAAGTTACATATTTTTGCTATATACAAACGTTTGTTCAACCTAACAAGAGATTACACAACTAACCTATGGTTATGCAACTCCTTTATCAAACAGATTTTCAGTTTACGACTGAAATCTATCGAACAAATTTTAATTCACTTCCTTAAATAAGTTGACTTATTTTTGGGAATGGGAGTTATGTCATTTGATTTATTGGGATGCATGTAATTTATAAACACTATAAACATGTTTATCACTATCAACCTACTAAATAACCATTGCTGATTAATTAGTCCCGAGGTTAAGCGTTTGTGCGTAAAACCGAAGGCTGTAGGGTCGAGTCCTGGGGATGAAATCATCCATACGCACTTCTGAAGAGTCCGATAATAAGATGAAACGGGCGCCCAATGCTTCCATGTTTTCAATGGTGGTCTAATATTGATCGTAATGGTAATGATACCTAATATTGATCGGTTCATGACTTAGATGAAATTCAAAAATTTCATTAACACCATACTGAACATTAATTTATAATATTCCACTACCTTTCATTCATTATTTCCTCCTAAAACGAAGACAAAATGACAACTTCTTATGGTGAGCACGATACTAACCAGAATTATAATGATGTTAGACAATATCATTTATCTTGAAATTAAGCAAATGGTTAACCAATCACTATTCAACTATTGAATGACTTGTTTTATTATCAAATGTTATATATATATGAGGTTGTTATGTGACATTATTAAAAATAAAGCATTAATCTATAATCAAAATGGGTTTTTTGGAGATTCTTAGGAATTTCACTGGTTGAAATCATGGATCAATTGAAGCTAGACCACCATGGAAAACCTGGAAGCACTGGACGGCCGTTTCGTCCTAGCATGGGACTCCTCAGCAGTGCGCATCCACGATCCCGCACTCCGCAAGATTCGAACCCAGGACCTGTCATTCTCGCGCCAGGCGCTCAACCAACTAGACCACTGAGCCGGCCGGCATCCAACGGTGTTAATGTCTAACTTCAACCAATCCACAAAGTTGTGCCACCGTACACCATTGTCTTCAGTGAGTTGATATCTCACGACAGACCTGGTTGAACTCCACTGGTAACGACTTCTCATTAGAACTCCAGGAGTATCTCCTGAAGTCAGTCACTAGTGGGCAGGTGATTCTAGGTTTTCCATGGTGGTCTAACTTCAATTGACTCATGAATTCAACCAGTGATATTAATCTATAGTTTTATTCTTGACAAACAGTTAACAATTCTATATTGTAGATTCATCTATTTACAATTTATAAAAATAAAAATGTAATTGATACAAGCTATTGAGATGAATATTTTCACCGTTAAAATATTTTTTAATTGTCAGGTGAAAATACAAAAGCCAATAAATATCAATTCAATATTTTACACTATTTGAAAATAATTGAAATTTATTGGCTGATTACATGAATATACAAATTGTGTTGTTTTATTATGCACAGTAAAATTTAATTTGTAAAGTGTGAAAATGTAATAAACGGAATCGTGGATGAGCACTACTGAGAAGTCCCATACTAGGACAAAACGTACTTTCAGTGCCTCTAGGGTTTCCATGGTGGTTTAGCTTCAATGGACTCATGAATTCAACTATTAACTTAATTAATTAATTAGTTACGAAATATTCTGTTTTTATCAGATTTAACTTAATAAACAAAAGCTAGAAACTGATAATCATAAAAATAACAATGAAAAATACAAAATAAAAAAGTAATTTGAAAATATTTTACATTGATGAATTTCTTTGTATCATTCCACAACCTATGAGAATGAATCAGTGTTATATCCCGACGAGAATTGTGAATGGTAACTCCTAAGAACTATTTATGAAGCAATACGATGCATATATTTCTACTGTATAATTGTTAAATAGCTAAACTATACATATTCATTTTCCGCTTATTATCAGCTTCATTTTGACACAAACTATTATTATACGATTTGCTGTTCTTGAGTTATGCCCAGTCAATTAATTAGAGTCTCCTACCTTCACAGCCACTTATGGTTAGATATTGTACAAATGTTATTTTCTATTTTGTAGTACGATATGGTCTGTTTGGTTTATATAAAAACCCAGTATGTTTGAAATAAATGATTCATATCGTGGAGGCTGAGATTAGTGCTCTAGACTTAACAGGCAGGGTTAGGCAGGAAGAAGAACCGATAAAGATTCTAGATTGCTCATATGGATTTTATGAATCATTGGTCTGGTCTATAAAGCACTGTTCTCTAATTGGCGGTATCATTATGTCATATATTGATAGAGACGCAAGGTCACAAGTTATAACAATCATACAGTTGTTGGAGTATTTCTGATGGCATAAAAGAATAAAAAGTTTAATTATGATTACATTAATTCATTTATATGAATAACTAAATTCCAACACTAATTTTTAAGCTTATTCGTTTAAGAATTTATATCGATTTCGCGATTCAAATAACTTCTGGTTTATTAAGAATCTATTCTAAATGGCTTTGTGTGAAATACGATATCGTCTCGATTAGTTATATAGTCTTGTTACTCAATTTTGTTCCAAATGGTCTCTCAATTAACTTGCTTATTTATTAATTCGATATTTGTAATAAAAGTAGACTGGGAATTCGTTTCTTAAAATACCATTGAATTTCAGTGAAGAACACTCTCTCGACATATTTGTAAAATATTTATATTTTAATAGTTGATATCATGAGTCAATTCAAACTAGACTATCATGGAAAACCTGAAAGCACTGGACAACCGTTTCATCCCATTATGGAAATCCTCAAAAGTGAGCATCCACGATTCCGACTCGCGAGATTCAAACCCAGAACCTATCGATCTCACATATGAACACTTGACCTCTAGACCACGGAGTTGACCGGTATCCAACGGGGTTAATATCTAACTTCAACCAGCCCATGAAATTGATCGACATATCCACCATTGTCTTCAGTGAGTTACTATCTCATAACATACTTGGTTGAACTCCACTGGTCACTGATTCTCCCCAGAACTCCAGGAAATACCTCTTTATGCCAGGCTCTAGTGAGCATATGTTATATATACTAAGCTACTTTTAAACTTTAATTTATTCCCAACGAAATACTCTATTTATTGTCAGGATGAAGCAAATGTGTAACTCAGTAAATTTATTATATTGCTAATTAATGAAATAAATTCTTTTGACGTTGTAAATTGTAAACATGGATTTAGTTATTAATTAATTTATATCAGCTTTTGCTTTGTTCAGTATATTCAAATGTAACTACTGACCATATGTAACACATTATATTTTCATGTACTTGATAATTAGTGGTCAGAGCACAAATAAATCTTCATCTATACTCTTATCTTCTCCCTGGAATCGAGCCATAGCTTCAGTTGTAACAAGTAACAGTTTCTCCCCAATCATACCACATAACCGTTCCAGCATTTTGTCAGCTAAAACACATCAAAATGAAAAAATAAAAAATTTAAATGTAACAAATTCTTCAATGTATCTATTCAAATTCGGATCAACAAAAGTGAGTCTAATTATGGAGTATTTTTTTGTCATTTTAATTCTTTCGTGATCCATAGTTGGTCATATTCGCTGGTTATGTAACAAATTTTGAAAAAGTCTCTTTTATTTTGTTTATGTTTTTGCTTATAAGCATATTTATCAATAAATGTAAACCATCAAAATACGAACTTACTTTAACCTAATGACACTGATTATTATCTTCAGTATTATACTTCACTATTTTTTATTAATAAAAAGGTATACGAAATGAGTACACCTGAAATAAAATTTTTGATATTGGTTTCTTATTGGCTGGAGATTTTGGGAAAGAAAATTAAGACTGATGAAAGGGTATGAAAATAGAAGTGAACATATGAAACCATATTTACACGTTTAGAGGAATCCACTCGTGTCTATTCTGATTGGATATTAAATTGGACACGGGGTTGATTCACACGGACAATGCAATTATATATATATATATATATATATATATATATATATATATATATTACTTATTCACTATTTTCAACACATAATGAATATGAATGATTGTCAGACAACAATGTTGTCTCCTAGCCAAACATCAACACATAGTGTAAATGATAAATGTAAAGCAAAAAAATACGGTCGACAGTCTACAATACCTCTGGAATATCGAGATCAAACAAGACGAGTAGGTGATACATTTATGTATACATTAGTGACATTTATTTTATAGAAATGTATTTACACCTTAACTAAATTTCAGTCTCTTTTATATAAGAAATATTTATATTGAATGGATTAGGATGAAAAAACTCTGATGGTCTGTAAGGTGGCAGGATTATAGAATACATTATTAGTTAAATTACGAAATGTAGTAATACAAGTAATCAAAATGACATGAATAAAGTAATCTTGAATTAATAAGGTTTAAATATATAATATCAGAATACACTATCCTATCTATTGATTATGATGTAGTAATTATTGATAGTTTAGACATTCTTCCCCTCTTGAGTAATTGATTTTTGATAACTCGATGATTCGAAACTGATTTTTATTATAAACTAAACATCAGTCTAAAAAAACTATTGAGAATCGGATAACACTTGAAAATCGACAGATATTTGTCTCAGAATAAACAGCACACTCATTTATTTCTTAATAACTATTTAGATTAAAGCTAGAGCTTTAGGGATGGGAAATAAATTTAAGGATGAATCTGTCAAAATCATTGACTGGATCTTTTTAAATGATCAAGTTTGAGAGTGAATTCATGAATTTTCAAAAAAAATCTATTCATGATATTTGAGTTAATTTCTATTTTTCCACGAATATTAGTTTTTTTGTCGAAAACATATAATATGTATCACTGTGTAAAATTATTATGATAATTAACCTCTTCTAACCACTTGGTTGGGTTTAGTGTTAAATTTATTATCAGAAGAGGTTTTTGTGGATATTATAGTAATTCAATGGCTGAATTCATGAGTCAATTGAATCTGGACCATCATGGAAAACCTGGAAGCAGTGGACGGCCGTTGGAGTTAGATATTGGTATCATCGGATGCTGGTCGTCTCAGTGATCTAGAGGTTGAGTGCTCGCGCGCGAGGTCGATAAGCAATGGGTTGGAATCCCGCGTGCAGGATCGTGGATGCTGAATACTGAGGAGTCTCATAGTGTGATGGAATGACCATCCAGTGCTTTCAGGCTTTTCATACTGGTCTAGCTTCAACTGAAACATGAACTCAACTATTAAATTTATATCACTATTACTATTAATTTATGCTTTCTTAACAGATCGTTTCAATCTAAAATAATACAGGAGAATTGAATCAAAAAATGACTACTAAGTACAAACAGATTAATTGTAAATGAATATCTTATGCAATAATGTAATTAGTACATTACAAAACAATACATAAACTAATTGAGTAATTTTTACTTATAAAATCCTATATAACTACCACTGACCTCAAACAGTTGTACCTTGGGTATTGTGGTCACCCTTTCAGGTCACTAAGACCACTTCTAACCCTAATTCCTTTACAGGTACCTCCAGAAGAACCCTTTCACTGTTTGGGCAACCAGGTAATGATAACCGCCCTTGTAACTCTAACAGCACTCATCATCACTGTATCCATAACTGACTGACTTTTATAAATCAAACATTAATTTCAAAAATAGAATTTTATCATTAATATTGTTTATCTGTTTTTAGTTGAAAAAACAAAATCTGGAACGACGTAGACGTGCATGTATCTCAGATAAAATGAATGCATTACATAATTTAGCTATGAATTTAATTGGTAAAAATGTAAGTTATTAGTTGTCGTTTTTTTATTCTAATTTTTTATTTAAATAATGAGAATTTTTTAAATTTATTTCGAATATTTTACTCAGTTCATTTAATATTTTATAATCTAGATTTTTTAGGTTTATTAGTCTAAAATAAATAGGGTAATGAAAATTCTTATTTGTGCTATGAACTAAAATTGATTTATAATTGATTGACCACTGGATGGTAATCAATTTCATGTTTGTCAGATCCTTCTTAGTACAGATCGTATCCTATCAATCAAATTGCAATGTGTCCATTAGTCTAGATGACTCGACATTGCGTACACTATGTTAAGATAAGATGGTGGTTGAGGATAGTCGGGGTTTACTGTTGACTACTTCCAATCATGAACTCACTAAGATTGATGTTCATCTATATTTAAATGACCTGTTGAATGAGAGTTGAAGAAAATACATCACGTCATTCTTTAAAATTGAATTAAAGAAACACATAATTTTATATTCATTTTGTATTGGTTGTTTGAACCTTCCTATTGATATTTAGACCTGCAACTGATCAATCTACTTTGAGATACGAGCATCCTATACGAATTGCCTTGATATTGTCATGAATTCATAAGTATTATCAGCACTTAAGTACATGGATGATGAGACGGTGTTTTAAGTGAACTACACTGGATTCCAGTCCAGGAGTGAACATCAACTCTGGAACTCAAATAGATCAAGCTGACGATTTCAAAATAGGATGAAACGCATGTCCAGAATTCCACTGACAACTACATCCCATATATTCCATATTTAAGTGATTAGTCTTATCACTAAGGGTATCCATAATATATATTCAATACACATCACTAGTGCTAACAATGTATATCTTTAAGCGAATATGCAATTTAATCATCGAAATATGTGTATGAATGTCTAACCAGTGTTATATATTTCGAATTCTATTCTTACTAGTAAAGTCAACGGTATTAAGAGAAATTATATTAATATATCTATAATTACAATTATTTTATAAGAAATTCTTCATCACTGAATTTTGCTGTAATCTAATAAAACTTTTTGCTATGAGGAATAAGCATATTAGTGTTACTGTGGTTATGGAGTTCGAAATATTGAAAAAAGTGTAAGCGTTTCACATCACTGGCTTCGTATGAGCTGAAAAAGAACAAATTACCTACGTGTTATGGTTATCTATCTATCTATCTATCTATCTATCTATCTATCTATCTATCTACATATATATATATATATATATATATATATATATATATATATATATATATATAATTATTCCTTATTAAATAGTCAAATACTTTGATAATTTTTTGCCATTTATCAGACGACTTTTCATCGACTGTTATATTTACCAACCAAACAAGAAATGTATATCCTTAAATCGTGATATTTAAATACAAATCCATAATTCAAATCACATAGAGCTGATCTATTGACTATTTTATTTAAAATTATGTAATCTGATTTTGGCGCAGCTTCGTGAAGACAAGTATCCTGTATGTTTAATGTCGAAAACATGAATCTTTAGTTAATTTAATTTTTTAATAAACGGAATACATCCATTATGACATTAAGTAAGAAAGAAAGATTAGTTCAGCGAAGAGTTCTCTTTTCGGCGAATTCATTTTCAAAGCTGTACAATCACAAATATATATACTTATTTTTACAGGGTGATAATAATACTGATAATAAACTCCTGTTATACATGGTGACAGTGAGGTTAAATAAACAAAGGTATTAGAAAAAATATATATTTTTTTTAGAACAAGGAAAGTAAATAATCGTTTGATAGTAAATGGCTTAAGTATTTATCGGGTAATTTTTAACTGCTCGTTTTTATTGACTACAAATTTGAACAGTAATATACTTTACTTCATATACTATAAATAATTTAAGATATATCATCGAAGTCGAGTCTATTTATTAAGGAATCGATATATTTTTAATGAAACATAAATGTCATATATTTAATACCGGGAGGGATATTTTTACATTCGCCAACATGTTTAATTCAGACTTTATAGGAACGTAACTGGAGGTATTAATTTTCTTTATAACAAATATAACAAGACGATGTAACTGACCTCATGCCTTTTATTTTTAATTGATTTATGAGTTAAATTTGAGGTTAATCTGTCTATATATATAGCAGATAAATTTAAAACCATATAAAGTATACTGAATGGTCTAGATGACCTATTATTATAATCACTCCTTATGATAATCCTGTATAAATTGAGTACTTGTTTGAGCATATCTAATAAACATTTTACATACAGTATAAATGACCTAGATTTGACTATAAAACTTGATTAAATAAATCAACATGTACAGATTAATTAATGCATTAGTTTTGGTGAAAATATTGTTGTTACCATAAGTTTAATATATAACCTGATCAATAATATGGAAGTACATCAATTTTTTTACTGATGTTTATCTATAATAATTATCCAGATCATTAATTTGAATGGTAACTAGTAATATCTAGCATCTAATTCTCAATATCCACAAAAACCTAACTATCAATTTGTACATTTTAACGAATATACTACTTATCTATATATTAGAATTCATTACAAGTGAGATCTTTTTAAGTAGCATCTATTATTTTTGTAACAATTCAGTATTTAACAACTACAAATCCATCAACAAGCAATACAGATTATAATCTGAAAGAAATTGTAAATATTTGATGTTACATGAATGATTCATTGTGAAAGTCAAGTTTATCCTGATGTTTACACATTAACATCATTTTTCAAAGTAGAAAAGTGTAGTTGTTACAGTCAAACTACTGTTTTTTAAAGTGTAGGTACTTAGAACCATTGTTCATTAAATTCGTTTCTCAATTTTTTCTTTTAACAAACAGAAAAGCTTTCATTTTAAAATGTTCATTGAGTATTTTATCTGGTATATTTCTAAAGTTTAATACTAAACAATTATTTTGGAAGATGTTATTTCTTGGAGTTCTAGTGAGAAGCAGTGACCAGTGGAGTTCAACAAAGTCTGCTATGAGATAGTAACTCACTGAAGACAATGATGGATATGTCGATCAATTTCATGGGCTGGTTGAAGTTAGATATTAACCCCGTTGGATGCCGGTCAACTCCGTGGTCTAGAGGTCAAGTGTTCATATGCGAGATCGATAGGTTCTGGGTTTGAATCTCGCGAGTCGGAATCGTGGATGCTCACTTTTGAGGATTTCCATAATGGGATGAAACGGTTGTCCAGTGTTTTCAGGTTTTCCATGATAGTCTAGTTTGAATTGACTCATGATTTCAACTGTTAAATTACTATAATATCCACTAAACCCCTTTCGGACTATCATGAAATTATTATCTCATACATATTCTCATTAGTAAATTGGACTTAGTTATATATTCTTTGAATATTGAGCCCCACTTTGTTGAATCCATATGACCAGTCAAGATTACAATCATTAACTTATTTCAATTCAAATCAATTATTAACATATATACTTATGGAAATATTTTCAATATCTACTTGAATATTTTTTTCAAAGATTTATTTGGTTTGAATATATTTTTCATTTAAAAATTTGACAATAGTTGGAAAACATTTAAGTAACTATGAGGAAGTTAGACAGTTGCTTAATGTCAGGTTAAGATTTCTCAGCAAGAGATTTAAACATTTACTAAATAGTAGCCAATACGTTTAAATCCAATCGGTATTGTTTACTTGAAACTCCCTATTGATGTTTAGGACTGCTAAGTGGATAACGCGAGCTGTGCTAGGTTCGAGTCCTAGAGCGAACATCAACTCTGAGATGCAGGTACATCCAACTGACAAGTCCAAAATAGGATGGAACGCGCATCCTGGATTCTACCGCTAGCCACTATCCATCTTTGCTTATAGTCAACATCTTTGTTATCGAATTCTAAACACATTATTTTGTCGATGAATATAGTAGTTACATATATTTATTATTGTTATCGTTATATTGGAACTTGATTTAAATGGATATGATTAATTATTTACCAGGTTAATTCATATTAAATCATTATTGTATTATTGTTTCTATTTCTTCAAACTGTTAGCCAACAGAATATCATAAAATTGAAAAAACCGATATTCTGAACGTTTGTCACAGTGTCTTTAAAAATGTTGTGGCTATTGTCAACGAACAACCAGGTATGAATTGCAATGTTTCTTTAACAATATCTATACTGATCTATAAAAGTTGTTTACATTTTTATTTTGTTAAAGTAGCTGATTAACTTGTCTTTGATTGAATTCAATTATTCGTTTTGTTGTTGAAATAGAAAGAGGAATTATCTTTGCTCAATTCATTGCCTATAAAACAAACTGTTTCAGTTAAAACTCAGACGATTTAAATCATTAATAATGAGCCATTCAAAATTAGACTAAACTATATGTAAATCAACTGTCTAACAACTTGAAAACTGTCAGTCTTAATCAATTCACTCTGCTTCTTGATCATTCACAATAATACTGAAAAACAGTCTGAGAAGAGACCAAGATTAAATTGATAGAAATGTGTTGTGTTTTTTTGTTTATTTAAAGTTAATGAAACTTTATCAACAAATTTGAATAGCTTGATCATGTAGCTTTAAGTGATTCTGTTAGTTTTATGAATTATTCTAAAGATATTTATTGATTAGATCTAATTAAACTTCTTTATGTTTCAATGGTCATCATAATAAAAACTTCACAATTCTTTATTGACATGAATGATATTATCTACAACTCATAATTCACAATTAGTTGTTAAGTAACAAATTCATTATCTTAACCAAAATCTGTATACTCTAATACACAATAACTGATCACTATGTCAACATTGAGATTTCAGATTATTATTGTATTAAAAGTAAAAAAATGACATTACTTTAAAATTTATTAAAAGATTCCTTTCAATAGATCATTCCAAAAGTATATGACATCAATTTGTGAAACGAACTATTTTGATGAATAATTGTCTTTGTTCTCATAATGCATTGATCTTTTCATCAAAAGATAAAGGTTAATCATTTAAATTGTTCGATCAATTAGTGTTTATTCATTTCTTTAGTGAAATCTTTTATCATTTAACAAGTACTAATTAATTTTTTCATTGAAATCATGAGTAAATTGAAGCTAGACCACCATGGAAAACCTGGAAGCACTGGACGGCTTTTTCGTCCTAATACGGGACTCCTCAGCAGTGCACATCCACGATCCCGCACTCCGCGAGACTCGAACCCAGGACCTGTCATCCTCGCACTAGGCGCTTAACCAACTAGACCACTGAGCCGGCCAGCATGCAGCGGTGTTAATGTCTAACCTCAACCAATCCACGAGATTGCGCGACCATCTTCCATTGTACTGAGGTAGACACTGGTCACGGCCGTCCAGTGCTTCCAGGTTTTCCATGGTAGTCTGGCTTCAATTGACTAATGATTTCAATCAAAAACTTAACAATTTTCACAACGCCTAAACAGATACTAATTCATTATTTGTTTCCCTAAGTGAATAGATTTCAATCAATTAATTCTCACTTATCGTTATATTCTATCAACATTATTTCAATATAAAACAAATCAACTAGTGTTTTATCCCAACTGTCTACTAATTTTAGATAAAGTACAAACTTTAATAGTATTACTAAAATGAGTGAAATGAAATGAAACTACCCAAGCAAAGAGTATAAATATCATCCCATCCCTTTATATTGTTTGATTGAGCAAACATTTGTGCTCAATTTCGTATATACAATATGAGTTTTATTTTTCATTAAAAAAAAACGATTGAATTTATCCAATTTTATAGCAGTTTTAATTACACTGATAAGTTTATTAAGATTTATATACTTCCAATGATTTTACTGTTATCATGTCAATAACATTATTTATGCGTGTGTATTATTGATCAACTATTAACATTATAAATGATTGTTGAAACATGTTGTATTAGACATTTGTTTGAAATGAACATTACTCTAGGGCATTTGAAGAGTTCATTGAACAATGATAAAATTATATATAAGAGCATGGATTCATCTAATTCTTAACCTTGGGTTTGTGAATGTATGTATACGCGGAGGGGGGGTACTTCATAAAGTCCAATTTCACTGATTAGATATCAATTTCCCAGACGTCTGTTTTCATCAGGCAGTTGAAAACAGTTGGTTTGTCAAACAGAGAGACCTTAATATATGTGTGCATATGTGTATGATGGCGAGACAGAAATAAAGAAATACTAATAAAAATCTGAATATTTTTCAAACCACAAACAACATTGGATCTTTTTTTCATTCCGTCTGGCTATATTCCTTTGTAATTGATGATAGTTATAATCCGCGTAAACTTGTTTTACACATCAATTAAAAGATACAAAAATTGGAAGAAGTTTTTATTATGTTGGAGAACGGTGTAATAAGTGTGACAATGGCTTAACTTTATCTAAGTACTTTCTTATATGTTAAATATTGATAACTAATCAAATAATGTGTATGGTATACAGAGATATTGACCTTACTTGAAATGGCGCCAATTATGTTCTATATTCACCTTTCATTTTGATCAAAATGAAAAATAAAGGTCGTTGTTGAATGGAAAATAAAAATTGGCTCAAATTAAGATTCTCGAACTAACTTAGATTAAGGCATTCTGAAATAATTTTATGTAGACTGTATAAAGTATACACTACATAATGATCAAAATCTCAATATTCAGACTTGATTTGGCTACAAGTGTGTGGTAAAAAATGTGTTTACGTTTTGGAGATTTAAATATCTGAAATAAAATGGTAGCAATCTTTATAAATATCTTTCTTATGATAGATCAATTGTTCTGTAAAATAGTTATTTGCCTATTGACCGATGATCGGTTGAAGAAAAACGTTGAGTACAAAAATGTACTCATTGACCTACGCTAAAATATCACAAATAATAGTAAACCGATAGCTAATCATTTGAAAGACGTTCAACTAATATGGTATTACTATGAGTTACGTATCGAATAGCTACTAACTGGCAAAAAAACGCAAATGACCTTTTCCGATTGTAGGTTCATTTTTACCTGACCTATCAAAAAGACCAATTAAAGAGTTGTTATGTAAGTGCCCTATATTAAAAAGAAGGATTTTATATAGAAAAGAAAGATTGATGTAGCTTTTCACAGGCCCTAACACTCGTTAAATTACTGGAGATAACTTATGACAAGTGTCAACACAATCGACATATTCAGACACAAAATGTAATGCATTTTAAAAATGAATTAACTTTACTATGAGTCAATTATGTAATAAAAAAGTTTATTTGAGTAATATTCCATATTGTTTTTCTTTCATTTTCTTCAGATATACTTGAACGTGTACATCAACTTCGTGATAAGTTTTACGATAAATTAATCACAAATCATTCTAGTGGATCAAAAAATAAACACAATATCAGTAATGATGAGAATAATAACAATAATGAGAAATTTTATTTAAGCAATTATATTCCATATAATCATCCTTTGAAAATATATTCGAATGATAATTCTAATGATTATGATATGAACAAACAATGTAATTCATTAAATACTTCCATTTCTAATGATATTTCATCGCAATTGACTAACCATAATTCATTTCAGTATTTCAATGCAAAACTTCATTCAACTCCTTTAATTTCAATGAAGACATTGGAAACTTCAACAAATAATAATAAAAATATTAAATCAGTAGTTACTACATCATATTCACAGTCTCTAGACAGTGGTATTGAAGATATTGAAGATACACAACCAATAAATTGTACACAATCAAAACAGTTATTACAAATGTCACAACGAATATTTAAACGAAACTATTGTAATACAAATCAACCAGTGGAAAATGAAGTTTATGAACAAATAATTGATTTATCTTTTAAAAAACAGAAACAGACTAATCATCATCATCGTGAAGGGATTCATCAAACTAAGGAAGAACAAAATGTTTGGAGACCATATTTAGATTGATGAGTTTATATTCTATCAGGCCTGCTTTTCTATTTCATTTTCTCTTTAGTAACTATAAACCAAAAGAAGTATATTCAACTGAAAGAGAGCATCAGTTTATTGTTATTTTTATACTTTTTGTTCAGTTTCATTCTTAATAATTTCACTTTTTCTCCCAGCAACTTGCCATATCCATTACTGCTTCACTCATAAAAAATTTCCATAAATAAATAGAATAGTATTGATAAATTAATGATTATTTTCTTGAATTTTTGTATACTCTTTTTTAAATGAGCAGTTCAAATAGAAGAAATGGTACGAATTTCATGATATCCAGAAGGATGTCGGTGGAGGATCAGTGTGATTCTTATGAATCGTCTCCGAAGAATCTTCTGCGAAGTCGATTTTTGTAGTAAACCTATTTCTCTCCATCCACTCCAATTTCGAAGATTTCTTGCCCATATTAGTTAACGACAACTCCTTTAGGCGATACCAGGTTCATAATTATGGACATTACCATGAGCAACAGTTTGTGTGTAATACCCTTGTTTCTGACTGTAATGAACTTGAATGTAGCATCCAATGGACTGTCCCCAAGTTTAAAGTTATAGAACTAATGTAACCCTAAAATGTTTAGATTATCATTGGCGACGTAGCATACTCTAGTTGTAGCCATGCCATTCGGTAATATCCTGGATTACAGCTTCAATTAGCCAGCAGTTGAGTCGGTTAACAACAAAGCAAATTTCATTTTCGTTTACATTTTGTTAACGAGGTAATTATGTCTGAGTCAGTATCAAACTTCTAACATATTCAGTAACCAATCACAATCCCTACATATTTCCGTGATGATTGTTTGGACATCTAGTGTGTAACAAAAACATAAGATTTCGCTAGTTTAAAGTACGAGCTAACTTGATAGAAGCAGCTACTTTTATCATTACAGTAGGTATCTTTATGTATTGGAGAAAATTTGTGATCTAATATAATGAAATGTGATCATATTTATTTATCTTGCTTACATAACCATCAAATACGATATTCCATGAATGGACCAAAAGTGAAAGGTGGCTAAAAGTTTCGCATCATTGTAAATATCCAAATAGAACTAACTTAAGTTTAGTAACCTTATATTTATGAATAGTAGCTGATCAAAATGTATTTTAAAGGGTTAACTTTCGTCGTGAAGTTTCACGTTTTACTAATGAGTAAGTTATTGATAATTAAGCCTATTCTTAAAATCCTAGTGGCAGAATAAAAAAAACGAAGAGTGAGTAGTTATTCATTGTGTTTATCGAGTCATATTTAGGTTATAATTCTACTAATTGTAAATAAAGGAAGTATTGGTTGTGAACCTACTCCAATACAATCATTATTCGTACTCTTGAATGTAGATTAAGAATATTTGATATCCCTCTGGGAATATTCAAAAATATTTTACTTATTCTTTGATCATAAACAGTTAAAATTTGTGTACAGGTTGATATCTCGCTTAAAACTAATTCACTAATTTTTACATAATCTTCACAGTCAACAAGATTTAAAATAGAAGAATTGGAAAAAGGGGGAGAAAAGTAACTTGTCAACAAAAGAAAGACAATGCGAAAAATGTATGAAAAAGAAAGAAAAACAAATTGACATTTATACTAATATTCGTCAAGATTAGAGCGAATAGTTTGACAGTAATTGGGCGCCGAGTATAGAGAAGTCATTATATGCGAAAATTTTATTTGAAATATTCTCAGCGATTGAAATTTAACTAATTCCAACGTTTCGTCCAGCTAACTTGTCTGGACTTCTTCAGGGTAATAATCCAGACAAGTTAGCTGGACGAAACGTTGGAATTAGTTAAATTTCAATCTCTGAGAATATTTCAAATATAATTTTCACTTAAAATTGACATTTAGCTTGTCATAAAATAAGATTTTTAGTCATCTGAAAGCGTCATCATGTTAATTTATTCATTTTTATTCATTGTGGTCATCTAAGAAAAGAAACCTACTTAAAGTACATCTCATCTTTCTTACAAATTTACATTACACTATCTTATACAAAGTGCTTGAAAATTAGAAAAAGAAAGAAACAACTAATGTGACTTACATTAATTGTTTTAAAATTTCTTACTACTTAAAATACATGTAGCATCATGTATGCTTATTCATGTATGGAGAATTCCAGATATTCAATTAATGATTAATGAATAACTATCCTGAAATCTTAGTTTTCGTGTAAAATAAATAAATACACAATCAATATCATACACTGTATTTGTTTTTAGAAGTTGTTGTTTGTCTATAACACTAGTTTCTTTGAATAAAAGTAGATCATTGACATTTAAGTTGTATTGCACGTCTTACTCAGTAACGTACAGCATTAGTTTTAATAATTATTGGAAATTTTATAAACATAAAGAGTAATTTTGAAAATATTTGCTTTGTACACAATGGTTAAATCTCTGGTGGTATAAGTTTATCCATATAGTCTATAACACTGAAAATGTATCACATTTAAAAGAATCTATCAAAGTAAAGACGATACATGAAAGTTACTTTACTACAATTCTACATTGTTCATTGAAATTTGTTCATGATATTTCTTAGTGAAGCCTCTTTCACAAACATGACTTAAGTAGTTCTAAAGGAAAAATATAGTTTTTCATTGAAACAATAAACTTATTACGATGATTCGACATTTTTTATTCCACTAGAATGTAGATAATTAAAGTGTATAATTAACAGAATTACATTTATCAGTAAACATAATAGGGAATCGAAAGATATAAATGAAATCGCAAATTTCCATAGCGTACAATTATATTGATCGTTAAATAGTGCAGTATGTACATATTCAGAAAGGCCCACGCCATAGAGTTATTATCTGTTTTAAAATAATCCATAGTTTATTAGGAATAAAACAGATTCAATTTTGTAGATTAGTTGAAGTCAGACATTAACACCGTTGGATGCCGGCTCAGTAGTCTAGTGGTTAAGCGCTAGCGAGTGAGACTGATAGGTCATGGGTTCGAATCTCACGAGGTGAGGTTGTGGATACACACTGCTGAGGAGTCCCACAATAGGACGAAACGGCCGTCCAGTGTTTTCAGTTTTTCCATGGTGGTCTAGCTTCAATTGACTCATGATCTCAACTACTGAAATGACTACAATCTCCATAAATCCCCTTCTGATACTAAAATGGTTTTTATTACAAATTACAACCACAGAAGTGTTAAAAATTGACGTTTTTCATATCTGTTAGATATTTGAATCATTCCTTGTTCACACTTTATGGTGTTCAATATTTCATAATATTTCTAAAACTTTAATCAAATATTGTTCTATCGTATTACAATCATAGATAACGTACAAATCAATTGAATCATGCCTAATAGAGGCTTTCATTAGGTAATAATAACACTTCAATAGTGATTTTCCCAAAGTCATAAAAATAAAGAAAACAAGTCCTGACAGATGATCTTTTATTACTTCCAAGAAAGTTATACTATGATACAACTAGTTTGCTTATATAATAACAATGACGACCTTTGGAATATAAAACAAATTGATAAATTATAAAAGAAACTAATCAGTCAGAGAATAGTCGAGTTCAGTGTGGCATGTTAACATGGTATTTCGACAGAAAGGGAGGAAAATAGATAAGTTGAAGCTTTCTTAGCAGTCGTCAAGTTTTAACTTTCTGATCATAGTCCCAATTCGTTAAAAATACAAAAGTCAAACTAAAGTTATTTTTAGTTTGTAATTCAATATATTGTCAACTTAACAAGGGAGGATCAATAATATTTTATTTTAATAAAAAATTCAACTAACGGATGGTTATTTTATTTTAACAAGTTAGCTCTCTAATTTGGAACACTCAGTAAGTAATCACAATAGAAGTGTTACGAAAAAAATGATCTATTCTACAACTTACCACTCAATGTTATTTTTGTCCTATCTCATGATTACTATTAAAATTCATAGGGACCCATGTCTCATTTAACTCTAGTCCCTTCAATTTACTTATTTTACAAGCATAACAAAGTGATATATACTTCTTCAATGTTCACAATTACATTATTAGCCTAAAAAAATCTCTAGTTATATATAAACATTACGTATAGTAAATTTGACCTATGAATTCATCTGAAAGTCACATTCTATTCGGAAAATACACATAGATAACAACAATATAAATTGTGAATTCTAATAAATCCAAAAATACCACTTTAAAAAAAGAACCATGATGCACTTATCCCAATGATATTGATTATTGATACGGAAAGATTTTAATATGATATCGAATAAATTTTATTTTAATCATTTAAAAAAAGAAGTTTATCCAACTACTAACAATCATGATAAATCAATAGTTTTTTCTCCCTCTCTCCCTCTCCCCTCCCCAGTACTTTATTAGTACTTCATTACAAATAACAGTACAACTAATGAACAAATAATAAAAAAATATAATCAGATTTTGTGCCAAATCAATCTGTAAACTAGTTTAAACATGTGTACAAAAAAAAAATAATAAATTTCTATAAATAGAATGTCTATTAATTCATTAACTGTTGTTTGTTTGTTTGTTTCTCTCATTTGAAGATATTTTCAATTCATGAATTCATTAAAATGATTGACCTATTTGATATTCTCTAGTCATATGAGTCATAAGGAATACATAGTGAAAATAGTTTTTTTTTCGTGGTGTGTTTAGTTTTTTGAGAACACCTACGCATAAAAAATATAATAAGAGTTCAGTGTTGTGAATTAAGTTAAACATAATTTTGTCATGTTAAAATATATGTTACACTCAAATTTGATTTTGTATTGTTTATTTAAATCTTTCTATTGATGTTTAAGATTGTAATTGATTAGTCTCTTATTGGCATATATGTATCTTGTGCCGATTGTTTCGATACTGCTAACCACTAGTCAACTTTACTTATAAGCCTTGTGACATAAAGTAATATTGAGGCAATAAGCACAGGATGAATATATGTTAATAATAGACTGATTTAAACATCAATGGGAAGATTCAAACAAACAATACAAAATAAATTTAAACGTCAACCTAATACGCTATTAGGATTCAATAGCTAAGTGGATAACGCAATGGTGTTTAAAGTGAATGGTGTTGGGTTCGAGTCATGGACTCCACTGCTAACCACCAACCATTTTTACCTTATACTCATTTATGAATGGCAACTTATGAAGTAGGTCACATTTTCAATGTATCACTAATTGAAGTTGA